ATAATAAATATTAAAAAAAGTATATGTATATAGTAAAATTTATAAGTAACTTATAGTATATTATATAGTAATTTTATAAGTAAAATTTATATAGGAACTTTTCGAACAAACCAAAATAATATTTAAAAATTATTTCTCAATTATTATTTAAAATCAAATATAATAAAATAAATGTAATAAATCGCGTTAAATTTTCTATCAGTAGTCCCATTTGTTTAATGTTAAAAGAATAATATCAAAATGATGTCTTAATTGATGATTAGATCTTGTTATCGTTTTGATCGAGACAATTATTTCGAATCGATAGATCGAGAAAATCAAACTATGGGGAAAAATGAAATGGTTAAAGATTATGGTAAAGTGGCGAAACGTTAATCGTAGATCATCGATCAGGAATAAACGGAAAGAGCAAATCGTTAGAGTAAACACATTCGCTCGTGCCTAACGTCTAGACACGAAGAAAGCGTTGAGATTCGTTTCCATTATGTGCATTAGCCTCGCTTTCGCAGTTCAACGTGCACAGTTTCTCCGTTTGATTGCTTTCCTAACGTATTAAACTAGACTTAGGAAACTAAGTTTACTATACTTGCTAGTTAACTTCCAATCGAGACATTTACACAATTAGTCTTTCGTTAATTAATCCTTCCGAAGTTAATCGGATTTTCTTAACGAACATTTTTCTAATCATTTTAAACTAGATCGAAATTTTCGATCGATCGATTTGAATCGTTTCGAAAGTTAATAAGAATGATTGCGAACGAATTAGAAATTAGAAATACGAATGACAAAAATATCATACGATCGTAATGTTCGATTAATATTTTTCGTATCGTTTTCATTTCGAAAGCGAATCAAACCGATCGATTAATATTCCATGTGAGTCAACTTTGAATCAGGGTTATTAGGTTAAAATGATATATGATAAATTAAATAGAAAATAAAACAAATAACGTTCCCTTTTAACGATCGGTGAAAGTGAGAAAGAACGATCTAACGATCTTTATCGAATCTATATTATTCCTTCTTCCGATATCGATTCTATTACGTGCGAAACAAATCCAACTCGTACAATGAACTTTTGTACGATTGTGTTTGTATCTTATGTACCTTCGATCTTTATTGCAAACTCGTTATATTATACGGTGTAATTCAATGTACGATCGTTTTCCAAGCAATCTATCTCTATTTTTAATAAATCATTAGATCGAAATCGAAGAATGTTTAACATATATATATATATATACGTAATGCGTTGTTATAATAGAAAAAGGATTTGTGATAAATTAGAAACGAGTTGGAATTTAAAATGAATTATGTGATACTTATTATATGATCGGGATATACTTTCACTATTTTTTAGATATTTTATTTATATATTGTTTTTCTTTTTTTTTTTTTCTATTTTCATATATTAACGAGTTTATTACGAGATAATTTAAATTAACATTTATTATTTTATTATTAATATTTACGCTGTGTATAATTAAAACAGTTATTGCAATAACTCGCGCACTGGTTAAAAATCAAAATTTATTCCAAAAAAAATTGAATTTAAAATGAAGAGAAATTATATATTGAATTTATTTTTTATTTAAAATAATAAAGTGAAAAAGAGAGAAGTTTAGTTTGACCGAAAGAAAAATTGTTTCCATGTTAGGTTAAACCCATTTATTAGAAATATTTAAGTTAAAAATAATTCTAATTAGTGTTCTTACGTGTTAATGACTTTATATCTGTTGAAAAGATTATGAAGATTAAAAAGATAGAAAAAAATAGGAAGAGCGTGGTATTATTTCCGTTTTATTTTCCTCGAAATAAATACTTCGAAGGGGTGTCTAACCGTGAAAGACGAGTTGCGATACTTTCGTTATCCCACATGATCCGTGATCCGTGGCAAGCTCAAAGTATGTGAGAAAAGTAGAATGCATAGAACTAGGAAATGCCATAAATAAGTTGAATTATTCTTACAAGTTTACGTAAAATACCAGTATATTTGTATACAAAAAAAAAAAAATAAAAATAAAATATCTTACGCAAAAATAATTTTAAATAAATACGCGTTATAATCCAAATAAAATAAAAAATACAAAAAAATACGTTACACGTTAAAATAGCATATAACAATAATTACCATTATCAAGATTATTCTAATTCAGAAAAAGTGTTCCTTCAAACGAAGAATAAGACAGGACAATGATTATTATGATGACGAGGATGATGATCGTGGGTATAATAGGATCGAGTTTAAAATGTGTGAAAACCTAACGTATGATTTCTCATTCGAGTATGGGCATTTGTTTAAAAAGACAAAAGAAAATAATGAACTCGCGAGAAAATGGAAAATAACAAATAGTTGTTTACTGGTCGATGTTGTCAGCGAATTCTTCTGAGAGAAAATGAAAATCTAACCCACCACTATAATATAACGCGTTAACGATTACTATAGATGCATATACAGGTATATATACACCTATATGCACATGCATATATGCTGGTACGTACTTATGTTTAAATTGAAGGCGAACGCGTTCGATAGTAATGATTCGGAAATGACGAATAATGAAGAGAAAGTCACCATTCTGTTCGCAACATTATATTCCTACGTAACTATACGGGAATAAAATTGCACGCGATATGTCTTATTCGCGTAAAAGTTTAAACAATTATTCTTCTATGATTGATCATTTCATTATATTATTATAACATTTCATTAATCAATAAATGAAACAATTTCGTTAAGATTTTAAAACACTGTCTCGATCTAATTAAATGGTTACACGTGTGATAACTCACGATGGACTAGAAAAATAAAAGTTTGATAAGTAAAATGTAATTCAAATAATAATAAATAAATTATTAGAATATTTATAAAAATAAAAAAATAGATTAAAAAAATGTTGATATATAAATATTATATATATATAAAAAAAAAAAAAATGATAAATCTGTGTGTAGAATGGAATTGAATCTATGAGAAAAAATTTGTGGTATGAAAGTAAATAAGTGAAAATAATAGTAATGTGAGGTGTCGGGTACGTACCAATAGAAAAATCCTCATGGTGTTTCCGTTAGTGAAGGGTTAGAGACGGTGAGGAACGGTCCTCTAAGAGTTTCACTGAGAGAGTGCAGTGGGATAGTACCCACCTCGATCCTTTATAACCTATACGAAGGCTTTTACCAATAGTGGGGGCATCTTGGATAGGCATTCGTTGCTCATCGGCACTGAAACACCCGCGAATTAGATTCTTAGATGGGTTGTTGTTTTTCTGTCTGACATGGCCATTGCCAAACCATAACAAATTCAATGGTAGGGGAATTTCATTGGCAAATTTTAACACTCGACAATTCTTTCTCTTATCTATCTGATTTTAAACTGGGACATATTTTATGTGAGTAACCGACTGAAATAGTTAAAACGCACACACAAACGTGAGATCCTAGTTGGTTTTAACGATCATAGAATATCGCAAATTTATTCTACTTTCTTTGGATAATGTAATTTTTTCTTTTTTTT